ATCAGGAGGCTGAACCCTCAACAGTCTGTAGAATCCCCTCACTGATTACACTGTAAGTGATAATCCACCTTAACCAAAATCAAAGTAGACTATCACTCACCCACACCAGATGGAAAACTCTACAGATTGTCGGTTCACACCCCATCACAAGCCAGCAAAACACCCACGAAACAAAGAAATGTTTGTCACATCCAAAAAATACACTCCAGACACGCCGCTGGCACTAGAGGCACAGCATGGCCGCATAGTGACGATATATATATATATATATATATATATATTCATTTCAAATATACAAAAAAAAAACGTAAAAAAGAAGCATACAAAGAACTACCAACCAAAAACCCCTCCCCCCCAAGAAACCATTTTTTTTAAATTTGTTTTTGAATTTCTCTTCTCCACCTTTTCTGTTTTTTATTTTTTATAATTCTAAAAACTTACGTTTTTTCAACAAAAAAAAATTGGGGTTGTAGGGATTAAAAATCCCTACAACCGTTTTTTTTTTTTTTTTTTTTTTACCCATTATTTAATTCAGGAAAAATATGGTAAATTCGCGTCCGCGGCGCGGATCAGGTCGGTCGCGGACGAGGCCGTATATACGGCCGCCATCCGAGCTGGACCTCGCGGACGCGTCCGCGGGTGTTTCATAGGATAGGAGAAGTCCCAGTTCCAGGTAGATTCCATCATACTCCTCTGCGCGAAATGCCTCTTTGATCTCCCCCTCCTCAAACTCGTCATCCTGGCTCTCTGGCACCACATCCTCATTCTCAGCCAGATTCAACGAGCCTATCTGATCAAAGTCTCCTTGCAGAAGCGTATTGACGAGGAGATACATCCCTCCCATTAATTCCTCGTGCCTTTCTACCTGATCTGGTTCTTCCTCTATTGTCCTCATTTCCTCGACTAGACTATGCGAGCCTGCCAATGTCACTTTCATTATCCACTGGACATCTTTACTGCCCCATGAATCTTCCTCTTCAAAGGGATTGAGGATTAGGTCTGCCTTCCGTTCATACCCACTTGGCGTATGCCAGATAGGATGACCCACGCAGCTAGGCACTCGCGGGGACCACTCATTGATGTGAAGACGGATGTCCTCGTCCTGATCCACGAAGCCATCAACTGGGGGTGTGTTCTCTACTGCCTCCCCTTCTTGCTTATCCCTTTTGATACGACTCAACCCGTCCGCCCTGTTCTTATTCCCAGGAATCCGCTCCAACTCAAAATTAAACATCCAAATGTACGTCAGCCATCTAGCGACAGTCGGATCCGATAGAACGTAATTCCTTAGGGAATAGGGCAGAGCAGTCGGGTCCACTCTCAATATGAACCTCATGCCAAAGATATAGTTTCAAAAGATCCACAGACAGTGGAGGACGGCGAGAGTCTCTCTCTTGAACTGAGAGTAGTTTCTCTCAGTCGTACAGAGAGTTCGGCTCTCAAAACGCAGCGGTCTCTCCTTCCCTTCTGTATCTGCCTGAATCAAAACTCCACCTAAGGCAGTTGGTCCAACATCTGTTTCAACAATGAATAGCCTTGTCTCTGTGGCGTCATAGTCTGGCGTTCTCAATACCAGCCCCCCTTCTCGGAACTCTTCCTTCATTTTAGCCACCACTCTCTCCTGCTCTTCACCCCAAATCCACTCCTGATCCTGACGAACCAACTTTCTCAAGTTCTCGGTCTTGGCGGCGAAGTTCTTGATGAAAGTCCTTCGAAACCCACACGTGCCAAGGAAGCTTCTTACATCAGTTATTGAGTGGAATGGTAGTGGCCACTCAATAATCTTGTTCGTCTTCTTTATATCCGGCCGGCGACCCTTCTCACTACAGACGAACCCCAAGATCGTAGCTTCCCTCATGCAATGTCTGAATTTGGCCCCACTTGCCGTGAGGTTATGCTCTTCAAGCAAATTCAGGACTTTCTCAAGGTCCTGAATATGCTTTCAGACAAAGCGCCTTACCCCTGGCAAGACTTCGTCATTCTCTTTCACTGTTGGCCCCTTCACTGCCAAGTCATCGATATATGGCTGCGTGATATGCGGGTTGATTGACTGCATGGCCCGAATCATAGCATGCTGAACCATTGCCACTGCGTTGGTCCATCCTTGTGGAGCCACATTCATATGGATCAGCCCTCGAGGCGTATGCATTGCCGTCACTGGCCTGTCTGACGGATAGACCGGAAATTTGTCATATCCGGAGTAAAGGTCTATAAGCGAAATTATAGGTCTTCCAGCACAGGATTCTGACAGCCCATCCGCATTTGACATCCCCCCGCATCTCGCACAGTCACCGCATTCAGCCTCCGCAGATCTTGTACCCATCGCAGCGTCCCATTAGGCTTGATGAAACAAAACCATGGGATGCGTACGGTCCACTTGAGTAATCGGCGACTTGCGTACGTATCTTGCCGTCGAGGTAATCTACCACCTTATTTTCTTCGTCAGGATTATGATATCGCGCCCCTCTCAAGTTCCACGGCTCGTGCGGCATGGTATGGATGCGAATCATAGGAATCTTGTCCACATCCAGCCTGCCACGCTCCTCATCGCTAAACGCATAGGCGCGATGCCTCTTCATCATTAGTTCTATCATTAACGATTTTTCCTGGGCAGTAGGAAGCCAGGTTCTCCTATTATCAACTTCCCTTCGTTCCCTTCGTTGATACGGCATGACCCAGCTGAGGCGTTCTCCTTCATCTGCCGTATCAACCCTCGCTCCCATTCGTAGTATACTTCCTCATCTTCGGTAATGAGGATGGAAACTGGGCAACACTTTTTGTCTATCGTCTTGTACCGCCTTTGGGAACCCTACTTGAGTCTTCCCCTAAAAAAGGCCGGCTTACAGCTTGCGCCTGCATAGACGTCAGATTCCTCCTCCCTCTTGGAAGCCGATATACTAATTCCAACTTCCCAACCTGGGGACATTCCAGGACATGTTCCCTCAGTGCCTGGATGGCGTCAGGATCCGCCATCTCGTGCGTGGCCACTATATCCATGGCCTTATTCACGTCTGACAAGCTGAGGGAAAACGCCTCGACTCTTTCCTCCTCTTTTGGTTCCGCAAGGAGTCTCCGGCGCTCACCCTCTGACTCCTCAATTGTAAATGAGCCCGGATTGGGTCGATTTCTTATGCTTCGAGGCCCTGTATTTCTGCAGGTAATCACTTCGTAATTCCCGCATGCAGGGTCACACATGATAAGGATCAGAGTTTCATCGTGCTTGTTAAACATCAATGTCTCTGTCCTGTATAAGAAATACCTTCCCAAGAGAATTTTGTGGTCCAAGTCAGGCATAACGAAGAAGCATGCCCTGGCCTTTACTCTTCGAACCTCGATGAATACATTCGAGGTTGTCCCGCAAAATAGTGCTTTGCATCTGGCTCCATGCAAGATACCGCAATCCGAGCGGTCTATTTCCAATCCGAATCTGACCGTGTCAGCTTTCCGAATTATATTCATTTTCGCTCCCGTATCCACCATTGCTGCACACTTAGAGCCTTTTACCACCAAATCCACCGTACCACAGGCCACACACTTCCAGTCCATCTTTGCCCCCGTCTCTACCCATCCCGCCTCTTTCGGCAGAATCATACTCAGATGGACGCTGGCTACCAGGCACCGCGACAATTTCCGCTTCAATCCGTCACGGAGCTTAGGTGCTGATGCCAAAATTTTCTTCAAGGTCATAAGGTCGTTGTGGCCTTCCAACAACCTATCAATTACCCTTTCCACATCGAATCCTTCTTCTAACCGAACCGCATACTTCTTTTTCTTGGGCGGCACATCGAAGCAGGATCGATTCGGCTTCCTCTCTGGCTTCTTTCTTTCTGGCCCTTTGCTCCGCCCTCTGGTCTTCTTCTTGGCGCAGCCTTTCGTCCTCTTCTTCCTCTTCGTCATCATCCTCTACCTCCATGACCTCCTTCCTTTTCTCTGGCTCAGGCTCTTTCCGAGGAGGCTCTTGGCTCACACTGGCCTTGGCCTGACCTCGGGTACAAGCAGCCTGCGCCAGTCTTCCTTGCGGCGTAGGGGGTCTAGTCATCATTCCTGACCGCGGGCCTGATCCTACAGTGTTTACCCTGGGTCGCCCGGGCATTGATTCTGGACCGGAATCATAGAGGAAGACCTTGGGGATGCTAGCCCTCCACTCCTTTACTTCTTCGCAGAGGCCCACCAACTTCTGTTGGTATCTTCCCACCTTTCCCAACAGGTCTTCCATCTTTCCCAACAGGACTGATGGGGGCTCTTCTTTCTCCTCCTCATTCTCGTCCTCTGACTCAACGACTATGGGCTCTTCTTTTATATCCCCTACCCGTAGCATTTGGGTCACCTCCTCACCACCTTCTACCTCTTCCACCCTGATTGGTGGATCCTCCTTCTCTTGCCACAACCTGAACGTGGCAGGCGGTGCTTGTCGTGCTGCTACCCTTCTCTGGGCTTTCGCCCTCACTCCGCCTGGGACCTTCCTGTTAATGTATTCCCCGAACTGATCCTATATGTCACCGTCCATATCCGAGTAGATCAGTCCCACTCTTTCATCTTCTTGCCTTGTATTGCAGAACCGTATGGTGTGACCTTGCTTGTCACAATGTTGGCATATGGCGGTCCTCCAATCAAAGCGGGTTCTCCCGCTTCCTTGACTCCCTTGGTTACCTTGATTTCCCTGGCCCTGGTAACCTTGGTTGTCCCATTGAACTCCTCGGCCACCGCCATTTCTGTCGCGTTCCCTTCCACCACCTCTCTCTCCATTCCCCTGATTACCCTGACCTTGATTACCTACCCCAACCATACTACCTTGCGAACTAGGCGCGGGCGACGGAGGCGGCTCCACGGGTTGGGCCTGAGCGGCGGGATAACTTGGAGGCGACATGCTTGCTTGGGGCCCAGCGTATGGTACCACCTGCCCAGGCGGAGCCGGACTTCCCCATGGTACAAAGGTATTGTATATAGGTCATGGTCATGCCGCACTACTTGACGGAGCCAACGCGCTAGGCGGCGCGACTACCACTGCTTGGGGCATCTGCCCTTTCCCTTAGCCTTGCCCCCCTTGGGTTAAGTTGCGCTGCTTGCGTGAAGCCTTCGAAAGGTGTTGAGGCACCGACTCTTCTTCTTCCCACTCTTCCTGGACGGCTTCCTCCACCACTTGATCCTTTCCTCTTCCTTGGACCGCCGTCACTACCCTCGCATCTTTTCCATAGCCCAGTTCCGCCAACACATCAGTGATAATTCTTCTTACTCCTGGGGTTCCAGACGCCGTGGCATCCCTCTCCTTCCGCTTACGCCTTTGCAGACGCATTTGATATTGTTCCACCTCGTCCAGACTTCCCTCTGCCACGCCTTTATCAATAGTGGCCCAGGTGAGTTTCTCGCTTCCTCCTCCATGGCTAGTCAACTCTGCAGCCTCCTCGACAGTGAGCAGCCCCAAAAAGATAGCGCATTGGGATTCCTCTGAAATGCCATGAACCTTTCTCGCCTTCTTCTTAATCTCCTGCACGAACCCCCCCACCGTGGTGAAGTCGTCTCTGTTCATGGCTTCCAAATCCGCCGTGGTTAGCATCCCATCTAGCCTATACTTCCTCTGCATCCCATCCTTGAATCTGGCCCAGCTACCGTTGGCCGCATTAATAACCTTCTCTACCTCCTGATGGTGGATATGAAGTACATACTTCATAATGCGTTGAAACTTCACTGCATCTGATAACCCCACCAAAGCTTGCTCCACCAGGTCCAGCCAATCAGAAACCCGCTCCCCATTGAAGTGGAAAGTATTGACTTTGGGAACATTACTTGGCGTCCTTTCCTGCTTATTCATTGCTTCAATGAGGTCCTCGAGCGTCAGGACCTTTCCCTCGCCATTTGCTATTGGCCCCGACATTTTTGCGGGCTGTCTTTACTCGCCTTTCCCTGTTTTAAGAAAACCACACCACCTCATTCAGTAGTCCTATCCTATCACAACTCATGTCAGACCTTTACTACAACTAACCCATGCTCCAGGCCTGACAGGTCCTATCCTATCTTCTTTCCCATAGAGCTTATCTTAATAAGCCCCATCTCTCCCTATCGGATCCCCCTCACAACTTTCCAACCCAAGCAACCAATCAGATCAACAATAAAACTTATTATAGCGGTTGTTCCGTCATAAGTACCCTGCCAAGACATTAAGTACTTTGTCTTTTTCCCTTTGTGCCTATTTCCTTTCTCAATATTATACCCGGATGTCGTTCCACCAGGGACAACGGTAGGCTTTCGTTATACCCGACAACATCGCCACTTGTCGGGGTCATTGGTCCGACACCGCACAAGGCAGCACGGGGCCCTCCCGGCCGCGTCACGCAGGAGTTGGTCTAAATCCTCGTCGCGAACATACATGGAGCTTCCGCAAGCCGCTCCGGCCGAGTGCGCCAGCCATACCTCTCGTGAGCCCCTACGACAGAGTAGGGTCTACGCGAGGCACGACTAACCTCCACCTTACGGGAGCTGTCACCTCCCTTCGGTGGGCGTATCCCCGTCGAACTACCAGTCCATAGTACGAAAGTTGATCAGCTGCAATCGCAGAGGTGAACCAGGCGAGGGCATTTCTCGTTCGCTGTAGCATATGGGGTACGCGCGATATTACTCCTCTATCGAACCCCCACGCGAACCGACATCTCAAGGGGGCTAAGGTCCCAAGCGCGACTCGTCGTCGGTCGACTAGGATGCATCTCACACACCACGCGCACACCACTATAAAAAAACATACAAAATAAACACACATACACATACATATACATATACAAAACGATACTGAACAAACAACGCGACGACACTCCTAGTCCCTTAGTAGCCATCCCATAACTCTCCGATGTGGAAATCGGATAGGCGTCGCGAGCGAGACTTAGTATAAAACCGTGCGAACGCAGGGCTAACCCATATCGACTCGCAATGCAAGCGTACGCAGTTGGTCGCAATGATGGCGTACTATGTAGTACCCATACTCACGAGATCCTCGTTAATCTCAAGGGTTGAGTTCGACACTCAAGTGTCGGATGACACCCGCCTTGAAGGACTGATCTCTCGACGCTGGACAACCACCAAGTGCAGATGAGAACCACACCCTCTTCTGCACCCTGCGGAGAGTGGGTGGTACACAGGTTCATACTTGTGGTGACAATCGTCTCGTATGACCCTGGAGTCCAGCTCCATCATCTAGGACCTGGAGATAAGTCAAGGGGTTTGACTTTGACGGCTGCCACGGACTACAACGTCCAACTATAAAATTCTAAAAAGCGAAGGGGTAAAAATGAATCTCTCTTTTCTCTCAAAAACATAATATGTTTAACCCTTACACACGGTCGCAGTAAGTCGCGAGAATACCCAAGGCACGTATAAATATATACATAAGGGTTATTTATACGGGACGATCACTTCTCACAGTCACAGTGAGACTCCTCTCAGCAATATATATGTATGCGATCGCAGGCAATCATATCCAGAATCTGAACCACAAACATACCTGCAATCACATCAAAGATCCAACAAAAGTTCACGCACTATATGGGGGCAACTTTAACCATTCACTGTACTCATACCCCTTGCTTTAGTCATGCAAGCCTTACTCTTGTGCAACTCCTCAAAATAAATACTCAGTACTTTTGTTAAATGACCATTCAATAAAGTCCGGGTAAAAACACAACAAAGCAAATTCAAAACATAAGGCTAAAACCTTTAGGTCGAGTGACAAGAGTGGATTGGAGTTGAATCGTAAACCGACAAGTTAGCAACCGACCTGTTATCAGTGATAACAGAAGATGATCCTCATAGGATCAAGTTGAACCTAACCCAAATCCTGAATCAATCGATCAAGAAGACCTGTAACACAAGACAGGTCAGCCCCCAGGTTAAACCTATAAGTCCATGGAGAATAATCCTCATATCATGATCTCACCCAATCTCCTCCTAATTAACGAAGCTTTAATCTACCCCTAAGCAAGTGCCCAAAACAAGGCAGACTAATGGCAGAATCTCCCCTATTCAGAGTGGATCGCCAGAGTCGCCACCTGTCAAAATATATCTCCTTTAAACTTAAGAAAATTTCGGCAGCGCTTCCCGTAGGAAAAGTGTCTTTCCATAATTTATATCAGCCCAAATATGAAATCAGGAATAATCTTCAACTTTCCAAAATCCACATTTTGTCTAAGTCCCTGAATTAGTAAAAAATTGGGCAACACTCCCTTTAGAAAATGAGACTTCCCGGATTTTACTAAGCCATATACATAATTTAGAAAAGTTGAACTTTGGAAAGTCAAAATTTGACTAACTCCTTGGATTTGCAGAAATTTCGACAGCGCTTCCCGTAGAGAAAGTAGCTTACCAAAATTTATACAAAGCCAAGTATAAGAAATGATCTCAGAAAATGCAGAAATTGACCTAAGTAAAAATAAAGTTAGCTAAAAAAATGTAGAAATTGAACTAACTCCTATCGCTTTAGCACGTGGCGAGCAACTAAAGCAACTAGTTGTCAAACTGAAACTCTGACTAAGTAGAGGCCTCACTCAGCCACATGCAAGCCAAACCATAAAGGTACGTACTCTCACCTTCCTAGAGTTAAACCTTGTCAAACAATAGTTCATAATCTTTTATGAGTTGTCCCTTTATACGAGCTTACATAACGCATAAAGTCAGGTCACCCAAACTTATGGGACATGCCTAACTTAGTCATTGAGTATGCACAAAACAGAGGACACAACTGCTTCTCTCTTCTTTGGGCATGTGACTAGGCCAGCCTAGTCGTCGTGAACTGTTTAAGTATCCCCACTTTATATAATTGTCTTGACTTAGTCTTATAAGGCAACATATGACTGAACCGATCAACTTAGTTCGAGGTCCAGCCTGCACCTTCTTACCACCAGTTGACTCTTAGTTAGTACTCTCTTCAGTTTTGTGATAGGCTATAGTCAGCCTACCTAAACTTATAGAATAGTCTGACTAGCCTGTTCTTAAATAAGATAGTAATAAAGTATAGCCAAATTATAATCTTTGGGTTCCAGCAGGTGCGAGGCATTGGGCCAGACTACTTAAACATATAGAATAGTCTGACTCTCTGCTTGGTTCGTTCCTCTCTGATCCAATTCGTGCATGGCATGAAGTCGAAGTCACCCAAACTTATGGAATATCCTGACTCTCTTCCAAAGTTACTCCCTCAGAATAAAAGCAGGAAGAGGTTGAACCACCTAAACTTATAGAATGGCTCGGACCTCCTCGTTCAAAACCAAAGAAACTGAGAAAGCCCAAGTAAACAAGGCAACCAAGCCACCTGAACTTACAGAATGTGCTTAGCTCCTAAAAAGTCAGTCACAGTTAACCCTCACAAGTCAGAGCAACCAGGCCACCTAAACTTATAGAATGGTTTGACTCTCCATGCAATTCCACAACACTAGGTCTCCCCAAACTTATGGGGACTTCCTAGCCTCCAGAGCAATCAGACCACTTAAACTTATGGAATGGTATGATGCTCCAAGCAATCCAAAATAAACACAGCACTGGGTCTCCCCAAACTTATGGGGACTTACCAGCCTTAATGACCCAGTCAAACTTTAAAGCAATACTGTCTTTTTCTCAACCTTCCCCCAGATGCATCCCGTTCTTACAATCTGCTTTCAGTCAAACAAAAAAACTGGAACTAGAATTCTGCACACATTCCTTTATTTAAGTCTGGTTTTTATCCTGAAGTCAAACCTAGAATTAACATAGAGTACATGCAATACACTCAGTCAGACATAGCGAGATGTATAGATAGGGGTTATAGCTTGGTATATAAAGGGAGATGGGTGGTTACCTCTTAGTTCCCTGCCTCCAGAACTCCTTCTGAGTTCCGGCAGAGCTCCCGCAATCGGTGGGGTAACCCCCCACGTAGGCCTTACTGCGGTCCGACAGGTTGCAATCCCGCCTGCCACCTTCGTCTCAGATCAGGATTAGACTTAGAGTAAGGAGGGCAAAAGATAAGGGGTTTCAGACTCTCGAGATACAAGGAGGGGACAGACTCAACTCCCACGAAAGGGCCTTGTTGCCTTGAAACTCCTAAGGGTCCCGCAATGATGGCCAAAACGTAACCGCTTGGTCAAATCTGAGTCAACTGCCGAAGTCAACCCCCTGACGACCTCCCGAGTTGCAGCAACAACCTCCCTTCTCAAGCCTATGACTTCACCCCCTTCCCCACACTTTCTGCCTTCCGTAATGAACAATACCGCAATCCGTTATCGGCGCGAATACCCTTACAAGGATATCCGCCCTGGTTTTTGCAAGTGACAGAAAATAGGTTTGGTTTGAAATTTGAGTACTCTGCACGAGTTGCGGTTGTGTTTTGTTAACGCTGACTGAATTGTTGACTAGAAGCAAAGTGCGTGTGGGCGCGCAATTTGAGGCGTGCGTGATGATTCTTATTTTGATGCTATAGAATTGGCGTTTCCACCAACAAATTTTTGGCTTTGATTAAAACCAGAAAGGGTTTCCTCTATGTTGACCATGGTATATCTGCGTTCATACCGCCAGCGTCATCGAAAGTGGTATTGCTTTGGGTAGTAATTGGGGCGTGTGAGAGAAAATAAAACGCGAGGGTGGCCTCCGCACGGCAGGTGAGGGAGGTTGGCAGTCGTGGACGGGGCCAGGCCCTATGAGCAGCGGGCGTCATAGGTCGGCAGTCGTGAGTTTGGTGCGTAGGCGAAGGAGTGGCTATAGGCATTTTGGTGGGCCAGCGTGCCGTGCGACACCAATTAACATTGAATTTTGCAGTGGTCCGTTTCAGCCTTGGGTACTAGCACTATTGGTAATGGCATTGGACTTTCAAAGCAGAGGTACACAGATCGAGGGTGGCAGCCGGTGGCGATGGAGCGTTGGAGCGATTGAAGATATCGAGGGGTTGAGGGCCCGGCGGGGCTATCCCCCTCGGTTTTGCTGCCCACCACAACAACG